TGGGATAATTGGGATGGGAGTGTCAGAGACAGTGCGATTGGCACAGGACAGAGCGGAGTTTAGGGCTGTTGTTCATAGGGTCACTATGAGTCGCAGGCGACTCGACAGCACATAACAACAACATAATTTTTTGTACCAACTTCTGCTTTTTTATTCAAGTATTTAATTCATTTTTTGTTTATCAATTGATGAATTAGAATTTTCTGTTCGTGTTCTCTATGTTCCGTCTTTATTATTGCTTCAATTTTTCCCTTGTTGGCTGCTTTTATATTTAATATAGCACTTTCCCCGTGTATTATTTTAGTTCCCTTATTGGTTCTTTATTTTTAAGATATATACTATTGTAGCTGTAATTAATAATCTTAATATAGAACAATTTAGCTTAGGTTAATTATGAATTTAAAACTTAGCAGTACATAGAGATTTTGCTTAAATAGTTTTTCTCCATTTAATTATAAATATACATCCTAAGCTATTTCCTAATTATTGCTTTATGTAGTTGTCTTACTTTTTCACTCAGTTAAGAGTAGCAAAGAGTTATACCTTTAGACCATCTTTTATAATTACCAGTTGTGGTATTATTAACACGTTGCCGCAAATGATGGTAATACATCGAAAAAAATGTGTTTCTAAGCAGGGTCGTCAGTTAAAAGTGTGTGGCAGTGTGTTAAGGGAACACTGGCAGCCTAGTGGTAAGAAGTCATACTGCATTCATTCCCAAAGTTCAGGTCACCAGCTGCTCCGCAGGAGATGAAAGTCTCCTCCTGTGTGATTTAGTGCCTCTGAAAACCTGCTGGAGGATCAGCTGAGGGTTGGTTCCAACTCGACAACACAGTATCATCATCATCATCATGGTGATATTACTTGTTCCTGTGAATCTGAGTTACGGTGTACTCATATTTCGATTCAGCTGGAGAGGGTCTCTTACAGAGTTGTGTACAGGGTCAGCCCGCGGTAGATGCTTTCTCTTATTGTCTCTTTGGGGATATCACCATTTTTCTGAAAGACAGAATTCTTAGTTGACAGTATTTCTTTTAGTGCTTGGAAGTGATCCCACTGTTTTCTGACCTCCATAGTTTTTCAATAGAACTCACCTGTTAAATGTGAACAAAAGCTCCTTCCAAGATTGTCATTGTCACCAGCTTGACTATGATGTGCCTAGGTTTGTTGTTGTTGCTATGTGCCATTGAGTTGCCTGTGACTGCCAGTGACCCTGTGTACAACAGCCCTAAACCCTGCTCTATCCTGTGCCAGTCTCACTGTCTCCGACACACCTGCCTCCATTACCCTACTCACTGAATCAGTGCATCTCATCCAGGGTCTTCCCCTCCTGCACTGTCTCTTTGTGTGAAGGTAAGTAGTTAAGACTGATCATAGACTAGTCAGAGAACCTTCCAGTTGGTTTAATCATTTAAGCACTGGTAGGTTAGTCTGTAACGAAGGGCTACTTAGGAATTGGTAATTGGCTTGGACTGCCTCCCCGTGGCGTGACTTCCTTATGGTAGTTGGTGGAGCTGAGGACTGACAGCATCCTGAAAGGTTTTTTTGATGGTTTTTTGGTGGTTTGGACAGACCTGATGCCTCTGTGCTCAGAGCCTGAGTGACTTGACTTTGCTCTTTGCTCCTCCCTCAGATGACTTTCCGAAGCCCCAGATCATCACCCAGCCGGAGACGACCATGGCCGTGCTGGGCAAGGACATCCGCCTCATGTGCTCGGCAGCCAGCAGCAGCAGCTCACCCATGACCTTCGCCTGGAAGAAGGACAACGAGGTGCTGGCCGATGCAGACATGGAGAACTTTGCACACGTGCGCGCGCAGAGCGGCGAGGTGATGCAGTACACCACCATCCTGCACCTCCGCCACGTCACGTTTGGGCACGAGGGCCGCTACCAGTGCGTCATCACCAACCACTTCGGCTCCACGTACTCACACAAGGCCAAGCTCACCGTGAACGGTACGGGAGCCCATCCTGACATCCTGGGGTCGGGTCCTGGGAAGCCGCACTGCGGCAGCTCACTGTGGGAGACACAGCATGCTTGGCTGGGATCCGCCTGTGTCCTAGGTGCTCCCTGTTCCCTACAGCATGTTTTACACATTGAAGAGTTAGTCTCTCAGAAGTTTTACCTTCTCCCTTAAATATGCTAAGGGGAATTGTGGGGCTAAGCCTAGAAATTATGCTCTTCCATGAATCTCTGAGTGATGCATGCAGTTAAGCACTCAACTGGCAGAAAGGTTGGGAGTCCCAAATCCATCCATAGGGCCTCGGAAGACGGGCCTGAAATGTGGTTCTGAAAGGTCACAGCTTTGTGAGCCGACGGAAGAGTTCTCCTCACACGCGTGTGTTTGCCGAGAACCAAAACTGACTCAACAGCGAATACCGTTATCCTCCATTAGTCAGGTTCCAGACTCCAGACACAGCTTAAATTCTGTGGAAATGGCCCCAATAGATGGCACAGCCCGTTAAGCCAGAAGCCAACCTGGGCGGGGCCAGGTCACTCTGAGTGGAGCTGGATGGTCCGAGAGGCAGAATGGTCCTGGGAATGTGTCTGACAGGAATCTTTCTGCTTTACAGCCTTCCTTCCGAAGTGTTAGTAGTTAACCACTCCTACGCCAGTGCCCAGCGCGGCCAGGATTGCTCATTGCTTATGTGGTCAGCCCCTAACTGAAAGGTCTGATGGTCTAAATGTACTGAGGTTAAACCCATCAGCTCCTCCACTGAGAAGTGGAGCTGCCTGCGTTTGTAAAGCTTACAGCCTTGGTACCTCTGGGGCAGTTTACTGTCCTGAAGGGTAGCTGTGTCCCTGAGTACCGCCAGCCAGAGGTGACCGTGCTGTTCTCCACAGGGAGATGGGATTTGATTGGCAACGGCAGTTCTTGGTTAGTCCTGTGACCAGATGTGATTCTGATTGACTTCTTGTTGTTGTTATGTGCCGTTGTTTGCGACTCATAGCGCCCCTTTGTACAACATCCCTAAACCCTGCTCTGTCCTGTGCCAATCTCACTGCTTCTGACACACCCATCCCGATTACCCCAGTCACTGAATCAATCCATCTCATAGATGGTCTTCCCCTCTTGCACCGTTCCTCCACCCTCCCAAGCATGATGTCCCTCTCCAAGGACCTGTCCCTCCTTGCAACATGCCCAGAGTATGTCAGATGAAGCACCAGAATCCTTGCCTCCAAAAGAGCCACCCGGTTTAACCCTTTCCAGGATGAATCTGTTTGTTTTCCTAGCACTCCATGGTATTCTCAATACTCTTCTCCAGCACCACAGCTCAAAGGCATCAATTCTCCTTCTATCCTCCTTGGTCATTGTCCAACTCTCTGATGCATAACAAGTGATTGCAAAGACCATGGCCTGTATCAGGCACACCTTAGTCTCCAGAGAGACACTGTTGCTCTTGAGTACTTTAGAGAGGTCCCTAAACAGCAGACTTTCCCATCGCAATACATTTTTTGATTTCCTGACTGCTGGTGCCTAGAGTGTTGACTGTGGAGCCGAGCAAACTGAAGCTGTGAACACTCTCAATCTCTTCACCATCCATCCTGATGCTGCCAGTTGGTCCAGTGGTGAGAATCTTTGTCTTCTTGACATTGAGCCTCAGTCCATACTGAAGGCTGCAGTCCTTGACCCTCTGCAGCAAGTGCATGAGGTCCTCCTCAGTTTCAGCAAGCAGGGTTGTGTCATCTGCATAATGCAGATTGTTGATAGATCTTCCACCAATCCTGATGCCACAATTCTCCTCATAGAGCCCAGCTTATCAGATAATCTGCTCTGCATACAGGTTGAAAAGGTATGGAGACAGGACACATCCCTGGTGTACACCTTTCCCAGTTTTGAACCATGCAGTGTTACCCTGCTCTGTTCTGACGACTACCTGTTGGTCCAAGCATAGGTTTCGCATTAGCACAATTAAATGTTCTGGGATTCCCATTCTTCTTAAGAGTCAGCCACAGTTTGTTATGATCCACGCAGTCCAATGCCTTTGCATAATCCTGATTAAAAGGTTAGCTTGTAGGTCATCAGACGTGCTAGAAGTGCTGTGCTCTTTAAGGCCCTGCAGACTGCAGAGAGATGAATTCTCAGCTGCTCTTTAGCCGGAATGTTCTGACTCAGAGGGAACACTCGTTTTTGAAAGCTCAGTGGTTTGACTTTGCGCTGAGGGACCTGGGTGGGAACTGCAGTGCTGTGTGTGTGTGTGTCTGAGTGCTCACTGCTCTGCTGGGGGATAGTTCAGGGAAAAATAAGCCCAAGAGGACCGTTTTCTGCCCACGTGCACCTTAATGGCCCACCACCTCCAGAACGGTTTTAGAGGGAAGAGCCAGCCATTGCTGTCCAGGTCAGAGCATGTCATCTGCTTCCATCTTGATGGAGTGGCTGTCTCCCAGGTGGTCCTGGTGGTGAAGGTTGGCATGCATGGGTCCCGCACAGTGTGAGGACCCCTGAAGAGATGGATTGCTATCTGAGGTGGAACACGGGGATGCTCTTGGAAGTCTTGCATTGGAGGAACACAAAGCCAAGGGTTTGTGGACAGAGACTGATGTAAATGTTTTGCTTCAGGGAAGAGTTGGGGACATCCTCGGACCCCAGGGCCCAGTCAGCGGGAGGGTGCAGGTGGCAGCAGTGGCATGAAAGGTGGTGAGGTAAATGGATTTGCTGGCATGTGGTGAGGAGTTCGTTCGGCTGAGGCCTCTGTTCATCTCTGCACCTGCACCTGACCTTCTATCTCTCTGCTTTTAGTGTTGCCATCGTTCACCAAAATGCCCCACGACATCGCCATCCGGACTGGCACCATGGCCCGCCTTGAATGTGCTGCCCGCGGCCACCCCAACCCCCAGATTGCCTGGCAGAAGGACGGCGGCACGGACTTCCCCGCCGCCCGGGAGCGCCGCATGCACGTCATGCCCGACGACGATGTGTTTTTCATCACCGACGTGAAGATCGACGACATGGGGGTTTACAGCTGCACAGCACAGAACTCCGCCGGCTCCGTGTCTGCCAACGCGACCCTGACTGTGCTAGGTGAGCTCCTGATACCGTGTGTATGTGCGTGTGTGAACGTGTCCCCCAACACTACCCCCTCCTCGGTGGGCTCCCAGCACCGTGTGTGCGTGAGTGTGAACGTGTCCCTCGACACTACCCCCTCCTCGGTGGGCTCCTGACACCGTGTGTATGTGCGAGTGTGAATATGGCCACTGACACTACCCTGTCCTACATGGGCTCCCGACACCTTGTGTGTGTGAGTGTGTGTGTGTGGTGGGTTGGGTTAGCCCTTCTAACAAGCCCACCACTCCCGTACTAGATCATCACAGCATTTTGTTGAGATGTTGCGTATTCTTTACTGCGATGCTGAGGCAGACCTGTGGAATAGTAACTTGGTGGTCTCGTGGGTTCTTGCAGAAACCCCATCCCTGGTGGTGCCCCTAGAGGACCGTGTGGTGTCGGTAGGAGAGACTGTGGCACTGCAGTGCAAAGCCACCGGCAGCCCGCCACCCCGCATCACCTGGCTCAAGGGGGACCAGCCTCTGGGCCTCACAGAGCGGCACCACTTCACCCCTGGCAACCAGCTGCTCGTGGTGCAGAACGTGGCGGTGGAGGACGCAGGCAGGTACACGTGTGAGATGTCCAACGCCCTGGGCACCGAGCGTGCACACAGCCAGCTCAGCGTGCTGGCCGCCACTGGCTGCAGGAAGGACGGGACCAGCGTGGGCATCTTCACCATCGCCGTGGTGTGCAGCATCGTGCTGACCTCTCTGGTCTGGGTCTGCATCATCTATCAGACCAGGAAGAAGAGCGAGGAGTACAGTGTCACCAACACAGGTCAGGGCGGTGAGCGGAAGTCACTTCCTGGGAGGGGGAGGAGCCAGGGGTATTTTTGAGTTAGCCCGGGTCCCGGATTTCACTACGTTCCCGACTGCAGAAGAGCTGTGAACGTGGAGTCATTTGGGACAGTTGAGCCCACAGGCACTGTTTGAGGTTTTAAGAATTTATACTGGATGGGAAATTCTTAAATGAAAATTGGCTGTGAACCCCACTTAGCATTTTCTGTCTGTGATACTTTGGAGGCATCTTGGTGCCTGTTGTCAGGCGCACAGGTTGGATTGTTCTTGAAGTGACCTCACAGCACCGTGTTCCTGCGATCGTCCACTCTCCTGTGGATTTAACTGTCTTGGGGAGGGTGAGGATCTGTCAGGCCTCCCTGGCCACTGTGGATGGGCCCTGACATGAGTTCCCTGTCTCCTTACAGATGAAACCATCGTGCCACCTGATGTGCCAAGCTACCTCTCCTCTCAGGGGACCCTTTCTGACCGCCAGGAAACCGTGGTCAGGACTGAAGGTGGCCATCAGGCCAACGGGCACGTCGAGATCAACGGTAAGGCAGCAGCCCCAGCCAAGGAGGCCCAACTTGAGTGTCCTGTGGTTGATGAGGCTTGGGGAGTTGCCGAGCTAGAAAGCTACCTGACAGGGGCTTCAGGTGATGCTCTAAATTTCATCCGAGTCGATTCTGCAAAGTTTTGAGGTCCCTGGGAGTCACTGTGTGTTACGGCTGTGCTCATAGGCTGCCTTGTGCCTGACTGTGGGGGGATCTGTTGCAGGTGTGTGTCCGCGAGATGCAGGCTTCTTTCCAGAAGTTGACGCTCGAGCTGTGGCCTGCCGGCAGCCAAAGCTGTGTGTGGGGTTCACTAAAGAGCCGTGGAGGATGGCAGAGAGAGCAGACAGGACCCACAGTCCTCACAGAACAGGTACGAGATCGTTTAGCAGGAAAAACATTTTTTTCCCGAAATTTGGGCTGACGTCACTAATGGGAGAGATACGGCATTGGCGCATGTGCATGAAATGATCAAAAAAGCTGTCATGGCATCCCTTCAGTAAATCTAGACTGTGGCAAGTGTAGATTTTATAAGTAAAATAAAGAACAAAGCTTGAACACAATGGCAATCTCAGCACCTTTTCACCAGGGCTCTTCTGAGACCCCCGTTTCTGAGTGCTTAGGAGACCAGGGCTGTCCACTGGCTGTTTGCTCCAAGCATGTGGTCACCTCTGAGGCTGGGGTCCTAAAGCATCTCTGCTTTGTCCTTCAGAGCAGAGTGGCTCAGCCGTGTGCAGCGATTGCAGTGGGGACGCCGACATGTACCCCAGGGAGCATGCCTTCCATCTTCAGCCCGCAGCCAGAGATGGGGCCCAGCCCAGCACGCCAGGCAGCCGGAACCCCAGCCGGGGGGACCGAGAGCACATGCCCTGTCCCCCAGGTGGCACTGCTGATGGGGCCTGTGCTGACTGCAGGGCTTCCCTCTACCCCAGTAACCACGACAGAATGCTGACGTCCTTGAAGCCAGGAGCGCCTCTGGATGGAAAAGGTAGCTTTTTATTACCTTCTGAGGAGTGAGTGGCTGGTGCGCTGGGACCGGGTCTGACGTGTCCTTCTGTCTTGTCTTGTAGGAGGTTCCTCTTGGACTCTAGCGAGGTTGTGCGAGCCGGACTCCCCAGGCTTCCAGGCTGCCCCGACACTCACGGCAGGCAGCCCTGAGTTCACAGAAGCCGCCCCAGGGGGCCCCAGTGAAGCCCAGCACTTGCTTCTTGCCAACGGGCACGTCCCCCAGGCCTGCGACTCCAGCCCCGAGTCCACGCCACTGACAGGACAGCATCCAGGGAGCAGGGGCGTGCCACTGCTGTTTGCACCGGAAATCTAGGCTTTGTCTACCTCAGCTCTCAGTGTGTCAATCCTCAGCAAGAAAACGGGGGGCAGAGAGACTGCGAGGAAGCTTGGGTGTGAGCGTCACTGACGTGCATAGATTTAACTTCCATGTGGAGTGTCCGTAGTTCAGAGGACTCGCATCTGAAGCAAGAGGCTATTGTGTACAAAAGGCAGAAAAAGTATTTGATACCATTGTACATAAGAGTTTTCAGAGATTTCATATATATTATATATCTTTTACAGAGGCTATTTTGATCTGTAGTGCATGGTTAACAAAAAATATTGTACATTTTTGGCAATATTATTTTTCATAACAGGTTGCTGTTTGTTTTGGGGTGGTTGGACAGTTCTGGTGCCTTAATGTATGTGTGGAGTTTGTAGAGGCTAACACCACATTTGCTCCAACAGTTGATGAGTGGGAAGGGGAAAGTCCCTGGATTCATACTTCACAGAGTCAGAGCTGGAGGCCTCACATCCGGGTCAGAAATGACCTCACAGCAGGATTGTTCACCTGTGGGTGGCCTAGTGGATAGGGAGCTGTGCAGCCAACCTAAAGGCGCACAGTTCAGATCCACCAGCTGCTCTGAGGGAATAAGATGGGCACACCCCTCTTGTGCAGTTTACAGCCTTTGAAAAGCCCCTGGAGGGTGAGCTGAGAGTCGGCTCTGACTTTATGGAGGTGTTTTTGGTGGTTTTTTAACGAGTCAGGGTATTAAACCCACTGTAGGCAGTAACAGCAGTGTGCCCCGCCTGCCCTCCCCACTGTGCTCTGATGGAAGCAGGTGTGGTCTCGTCACTGTCACTTGGCTGTCATCTGGCTTTCTTTTACCCTCAAGGCTGCTGGTGTTGGTACCTGTGGATTTTTCAGTAGTGATGTTTTAACTCTGCCAGCATAAGTAACAGGACCTTGGAGAATGGAAGACAGTCAGGTTCTTCCTTTCAGGGCCAGCTCACTTCTACTGAGGACTCGGCCTGTCCGTGCCCCCGCCTCACGTCAGACTCTGGCTTCCACTGTCGGCCAGCCCCTGCCCTGGGCTCTGGGGATATTTGCACTTTTAGGACCTGTGGCCAGCCATCCTGTGAGTGCCAATGTGAAATTCAGTGAAAATTAAATTGAAACAAGGTCCTTAAAAATCTCAGAAAGAAGCTCCTTTGGCAAAAAGCTGAAGGTGGGTATGAACAGAACAGTTACCTGTTTGAAACTTCATCATCACTGTTCCAAAAGGTAAGCATGTTTCGAGGTTTTTGTTTCTCAGCATTTAACTAATTAATGTTACTTCCACAAAATATGTGAATTTGCTGCTTCTGAGAGGCAATGTGAAAGAGGAAGTATTACTTTTATGTACAAAGTTATTTATTTATAGAAATTTTTGGTACAGTGTACATTGAAAAACATGTAAAATATTGACGCATCTAACAACTGGCACCGAAGTGTCTTTAATAAAGGTTCATTTATAAGTGTCGGTGTGTGGTCAGCTCTTTCTGCACACACTGACCAGCGTGGCTGTCCCCCCACTGAACTCCATGGGCCCCACAGACCCACCGCTGTGGCTGGGTGGGGTTACACAGCTAGATTCCCAAGATTCTCCCTCAGAATTTTCTAGACCTGGAGCTGATTAGTCAAGCCCTGAAATCCAAGTGTGGCGACTCTCCCATTGCAGCCCTTTGATTTTCAGTGTCGTGCTGAAAGCTTCAGGAGCAGACCTGTTAACGGACACTGGTATCCGGAGCCATCTAGAACCTCCCTTCTCAGCCCAAGCATGCAGGCAGGGGCACAGGGTCCACGGCTCCCCGACCAGCCAGAGCTTCCCTTCTCAGCTCGAGAATGCAGGCAGGGGCAGAGTCCACTGCTCCCTGATCGGCCAGACTGTCTCTCTTCAGCCTGAGAATGCAGACGGGGAATAGGGTCTATGGGTGTCTGGCTGGCCAGACCCTCCCTTGGCCTAGGAATGCAGGCTGAGGACACGAGGCCTACATCTGGCCGGCCAGGCCCAGCCATCACTGCATCTGCTTGCTATCACACTCCACACCACACGGGCTACTGGGCACTTCTCCACAAAGGAATACAATTGTCTTCCTTTTAGGTGAAATCGGAGGATAATGAAATGGAGCAGCCAGGTTACCTAGAGAGAATGCTTTGCTAGGCACCAGCAGCTGGTCTGTTACACCCTAGGAATCAATGGGGAGACACCCACTTGCACACACAGTCCCTGCATCTAGCCATTTAAAAAAAATTCTAACCATCTCTCCCTTCACTGTTAGGAACAGGAATAAAAGATCAGATGCAGGTCAGCAAGGGCTCTGAAGGGCCTGAATTCCCCACTACCAACCTTATTTATTCAGAGTTTCTGAGAAAGTGGCTTAGAGTACTGTGAGGGACATGATGAGTTTTGGTTTTCTGTTTAACTTCCTGGGGCACAGGCTGGTTGACTTTGTGCTGGGCAGCCTGAGTGACAGAGGACACCTGTTCAGTGTGGCAGTCACAACAGAGTTGGGTCCAGAAAACTGAGTTTTGTCCAGAAGGCCTGGAAGCCACTCCGGGAAGGGGGCCCACTCTCCACAGATGTGGGGCCGTCTCTCAGTTCAGGAGTGCACTCGGCCGAGCTCCGACAGCAGGCTGCGTGTCTGGTCATAAGCACCGAGAAAGATGAACCCGCCCAGGCTGATGGCTGCCATCCGAGGGAAGACACCTGCAAACAATCTGGGGAGAAAAGCAGGAATGTTCTTAACAATGTGTGTGTGAAAAGAGAGTTCACCAATTCCAGTACCACAGTGTTCAACTCTGCACGCCATGCTCATTAGCCCCCCCAGAGCAGCACTGATAATATATGTGCACTAAATTGCTCAAGTAGTCCTGCTGAAGTTTCAGCCTGTTTGGTGAATAGCTTACTAGAAGCATTCTCAATAACTCACAATAGTTTTGAAATCTTGCAGAGCTTTTCCCCAAGTGCAACCCTCCCTGTTCTTCCCATTTTAGAGATGCTGGAATCAGTTGTGAGAAAGGAGTGGAAGAGGCTACTCCACAGGGCTGTGGGCTCACCCCACACAAAGGCAGAGAGGTGGTCTTGAGCCGCTGCCCCTGCGGGGGACTCCACCAGCGTGCTGCCGCGGCAGGGACTCAACTCTCCATGGACACCCTGTTTGCTTTGTCCCTAATTAAGGACAGGAATGGCAAACGGGTTGCAGCTGGGCAAGGAGCCGCCCCAGGCACAGCCAGCCTTAAAGCAGCACCTTCATGATTACCAAAGACTTGGGGGCCAGCCGGAATCACCACGTGGAGTCACCACGTGGGTGACTGGAAACGTAGACTGGGGATTCATTTAATAAAAACTTCCCACAGCTACAGAAGGAAGCCTGGTGGCTGTGTATATCTGTGTATATCTACAGGCTGTGTATAGGTATTTGTTCAGGATGGTCAGTGAGCCACTGTAATGGGAAACAGCCCACCACGCACCTCAGTGAAGGAATGATGGTACAGTGCGCCCACGTACATTACAAAGGACTCAGCCCACTGAGTAGGAACAGGACTTAAAACAGCATAATGCTGCCCTGGGGACCTAGTGGTACACATCTGTGCTGCATGACCAAGGCACACGGTTCAAGTCCACCAGCTGATGTGTGGGAGAAAGATGGGCCATCTACTGCAGGACAATTTACAGCTTCAGAAAATCCACTGGAAGATCAGAACAACCACATACTTAATTGAAGAACCTCTTTTTATTGTCTAGAAGTGGTCATAAAAAGTCTGCAGAAGATTGTACAGTGAGGAGAGAAAACTTGTTCAGCGTCATGCAAGTTGTGTTTGTTTTGTTTTAATGAGGGCCGGGCTGCCCGTGGGGTTCTCCCTCACATGCCGTCTCAGTCCTGCAAGGCCGGAGCTCAGCTACTCCTGGCAAGAGACGCGGGGAGGCAGTTTATGTTTTCACTAGTTGACAATGGAATCTATTCGCGTAAGTGCTGCCTTACAGTCCTTTCAGTGAGTGCCCCAACTGAACCAGAGGCAGAGAGGACAGAGGGAGCAGGGTGGTGTGCTGGTGGCCAGTGGTCAAACGTGGTGACACAGGGACAGAATTCACGCTGCTCACAGCAAAGAAAAACGTGCAGCCAGTCAGTTAACGAGAACAGAAGGCAGGCAGGCAGGCGAGATGGGAACCAACCCAGCTCCCCTCTGCTTTCTGCCGACACATCAAAGGAGTATGTGTTCTTCCTCCTATGGAGAAGTCATTTGCCCGGAAGGAGATCCTCCCAGCACGCAGCAAAAGCCCAGCTCTTCTGGTGTGGACCACACCTGCATACCCCGAGGCTGGGGGCAAGGTGGCAAGCCCACCAGGTGAAAACACCCACATCTCTGTGCAGTGAGAGAGAGGAGAGTGAGTGCATGGCGGGGGGCGGTTGGGCAGGTGGCAGTGGCTTTGTGCATGGAAGCTGGCCTGAGACACAACTGGAGGGCCGAGGATGCCCAGGACCACTGTTTAAACAGCTGCCCACATCTGCAGGACTGCTCTTGTTTTGCCTTGGTATAGTTTTGGGCTTTTCCCCCTGAATTACTTTTCTTTCTTTATATTTCAACTAAGTGAAAGTCACAGCTGCCTGGCGTACTCTACTAAGAATGCTACTGTCTGTGCTTGCTATTTAGCTGAAGACTAAGACAGCGAATATCCAAATCCCTGTCCCAGGGCTGACACTGGCGACGGGGCAAAGGCTCAGGACGTTGGCACATTGTGAAGCCCTGCTCGAGCTGCTGCCCTGCCTGTGGTACATCCAGTCACTCCCTCAGGGGGCAGGGAAGTGCTATCTGCAGTCAAGTCCAGAAATGCTTTCTCCACAAGCTTCCGACAGCCACGGCTTTGCCCCCTCAGACACAATCCCGTCATCAAGAAAGATGCTATCAGAGAACTGGACGTGAGCATCCAAAGACAAGACAGTGGAATCCTGAAGTTCAACTTGTAATAAGCTACAGCGGTCACTTCTCCACATGTCCCCCCAACATTATCTGAACCACTGACAAGGAACACAGGGCTCTGGAGCTTTGTTCTTCAGGGCAGAGCGCTTCAGACAGGACCAAGTAGATTTGTCTTCCTCAGCAGGGTACTGGCTACGGACTGTCCCTGGTACAGACACCCATGGTTCCCTCCTTCCCATGTTCATGCCATGCTTGACTTCAATGATCAGTCACTGTATTCCTGAATCCCAGCCCCAGTCTCGACAGCCTTCAGTCCTTCAGGCAGTCATGCCAAGCCACCAGGGTTGTCACAAGACCACTCACGTTAACACTCTTTAGTCTCTGAGCTGGAATGTTTAGGAGGCTGCGGGTGCTTTATTGCAGACATATTAACGGAGGCCTAACTTCAACATTTCGTGTTTCTCAGACTACCACCTTCCGTGCAAACATTCCAAAGGCACCCCAAAACTATAACCACTCCACCTAGCACTGGAGTGAAGTTCGAGAACCACAGGACCTGCTCTGCTGCAGCCCTGCTGAGCTTTATTTTTTTAATTTCATTGTTGCCCTTTTCCTGCCCCACCCCACGTCTTCACTCCTGACCTGCCGCCCCAGGGTGGTTCCTGCTCTGCTCTAACAGGAAAACTGGTAGCTAATCCCAAAGGGAAAATGCCAATCTCATAATTTAACACAAGTATCAACATTAAGACAGTATTAGAGGTAGGTTGTAAGCCAGCTGCAAAGCTGAACTATAATCTTGAACAGAGAGCCCTCTATAAGATAGATGTTTGAGGTACTCAAAAATAAAAACATAGTGGACCCCAACCACTAACACGTCACTCTCACATGGCACCCCTTCATGTTGTAAGCATCATATAACAACATGTAGACCCCTAACATGGACAAATGCAGCCCAGAGAGGTTACTATTAACTGAAATGTGGGTGGTTCAAACCCGCCAGCTGCTCTCGGGGAGAAAGAAGACACGTCTTCCCATACTGGCTTGTCCATAATACTACTATGTAATTATCCTGTGTGTGTTAGAAACCCTCTCCTGTATGATGGGGCTTAGTGGTAAGGAGTTGTGCTGCCAAGCCAAAGGCAAGCAGGGGAGAGATGTACAGTTGGCTCCCATGCAGTTTCCTGCTTCTGAAATGATGTTAATGAGGCAGGTGAGAGGTGGTCATGCAATGAAGAAATCACTGCATGATGTGGTCTGGGATGAGATCAGCCAATTAGACGTAAGGGAATCACACTTCCCTGGGGTGTCTGGCATCGTTTTATTGCTTCACAAGAGATAAGAGAGGGAAGTGAACAGGGTGGAGGTAGGGGTGCCCCAGCACCAGAGGTGGACCAGGTTTCTGGGCTGAAAACTAGAACTGGGAGACACGCATAAAATCTTTCCTAGAGCCCTGACCCTGGCTTTGGATGTAGAGTCTCTCAAGTGTTAGAGAAAACGTGTCTGTTTAAGCCCTCCAGTGTATTAACTGTCCCAGCAGCACCAGATAAAGGCACGCAGGTATCTCCTTCCAAAAAGATGACAGCCCTGGCAGTGCTATGGGGGTGACCAGTCATCAAAACTTATGTGACAGAACCCAGAAACAACTAGGGTATAAGCAGCAGGAAAGAAAGGTGTCCCTCAATCTCACTGGGGCTTAAGTACCTCAGGGAAGGAGGGAGAGGCAGTGGACGGGGAAAAGGTCTGCTCTTGGCCTTACCCCGAGATGCCTTGTGTCCGCCAGACCCCCTGCAGGGCGGAGAGCACGTTCCCATCCGCAGCGCTGGAACCCGTCTGCAGAAAAAAAGCAGAGGTGACGTCCAATGGCTCCAATACCTGTGGGTGCACATCTCCCACCACCCTCATGTGCATCTCCAGGCATCCTCTGGATCCCGCCCAGCCAGAAACGCTTCCACTCGGTGCCTGGACCGGAAGTGGCTTTCTGGGTTATTTCTCCCAATCAGCGCAGTGTAGAGATGTGTGTTTCCAGTGACCATTTCACAGGAACAAGAATGAAATGACTATATTTTTTATGAAGGGACAGAATAATCTGTCCAAATGAGGGAATTATGAAACTTCCCTAAATAGCTAATAAACGTGGAATAAAATATGCATGTTCAATCCAGAATAAGGGTTCTTACATTCTGCCCCGTCAAACTAAGTGCCTAATTCTGGCATACCTGTTTCAATCTCCTAAAATAATCTGGTTTTTCTTTTGGAGCAGATCTATAATATATATTACATCTCCCTATGTCTTACTGTACCCATTAAAATTTTTTTGGTGGGTTTTTTTTTTCTGGTCTTTTAAACAATTATGTTTTTAACAGAATGAAAGCCAAGCATCACCTAAATTCAGGGGCCACCACTTACTTGCGACATGACATGCAACATGTCAGCCTGAATTTCAGAGCTGATTTGAACATAGCATTACCTACAATAGCTTATCGGTCCCCACTTGCTTATTTAGCGTGGGTTTGACATGATTCTGAAGGCAAAATGCCATGCAGATTCTGATCTTGGTGACCCGGGTGAACGCCAGCCTTAGCAGGTTGCCAGGCCACCTCTCGAGCGCGGAAGCAGCTGCTGCCACGTCAGGAAAGCGGGCACCACTCTGTCCACCTCACGGAGGTGTGCATTCCGGCACTCACACAACAGTGTGCTCCTGTCATACTCACCTTGGCCAACATGATTCTCGTCTTTGCCACATCCAGAGGCGTGGTGACCGCAGCTGCAAATCCACCTGTGCACATAGAAACACCCAATGCATGAGGCAAACTGCTCACCGGGTTTAGACAGCCTTCATACGAGGCACACACTGCTCACCGGGTATAGACAGCCTTTCCGTGAGGCACACACACTGCTCACCGGGTATACACGGTCTGCACAAGGCACACACTGTGCTCACCGGGTATACACAGTCTGCACGAGGCACACTGGGTGTATAGACAGACTTCAGGTTAAAGAGCAGTCCTGGTGGTACCCTGGTGAAGCGCTTGGCTGCTAATGGAAAGGTCAGTGCCTCAGGCCACCAACAGGTCCAGGAGAGAAAGCTGTGGTGCCTTTTCCCACAAAGGTGCACAGCCTCAGAACCCCTCAGGGGAAGTCCTCCCATGTCCCACAGGGCCTATGAGTCAGAACTGACTTGACAACAAGGGGTTCTGGTTTAGACAACTCCTAGTGGCCTTATTTTTAAGGTTATATAAATTTGCCCTCACTCTGAAACGGTGGAATGAACCCCTCCACCCGCCACCTCCTTCTCCCACAGAGCAGCTGGGGGACCCAACCTCCAAACTGAGTGAGCGGCTGAGCTCTTAGCTACACCATCAGGGACCCCTCATTCTTCCACTAAAATAAAGTGAAACAAGAACTGGATGTACATGCTCCTACAGGAACGGATCTTGTTTGTAATTCAGAGACTGTCTATAGTGATTATATCATTTTTTAAATTCTTTGTAACACTGCCAAAATCATGACCATGTCCACCTGACCAAGTCAAGAAGGGCATGTAAAGTGTTTACCTGCACACTTTGGTTCTTTGGCAGTGGTTTAGAATTCCCAAGAAAAGAGAAGGCCAAACACTGTTTTAGGCACTTAAGCAGGACGTGAGACCCCACAATACACCTTGCTTTTTTGTGTACTAGCCAAGGCACCTCAGTGTGCGCACACGTGGCAGACTGTACCAGCTGTAAGGAGGAGCGCCTCTCAGAGCTCTGTGCCTTTAACTGACCTCACACGCTTCTGTCCACGCTGCACCCAGTGGAATGGACAAATGGGAGCAGGACAGGGATAATCTGTGAAACTGGCTGGATTCTGCAAGTTGAAAGATTCAGTCTGTTCTACAGACCTCCTGACAGCAGGCCACTCATTGAAGCCGCTGCGAAGCCCCGGACTCCACCTTCCCAGAGCCTGTCCCGGTCTTTCTTCTGACCTCCTTTTTGTCCTTCTATTTAAATAGCCTGATGCCCAACTGTCCACAGAATTCAAGGCTGTCTGCACGTACAGATCAAGGGATGGGAGGAATCTCGTTTCCCTTCTTTCTTAAAATACTGAAGCCACTTTATGGCATCAATAGTTTATATAACTAGAAGAAATACATTTCTAAACCCCAAAAAGGTCTGAGGAGGTAAGTCAAGATTCCCAGGGGACATAACACACACACACACACACACACACACACACACACACACACATACTCTCCCCCCCAAAAAAACACCCCACATACAAAACCTATGCTAACTCCAAAAGACTTTGTAAAGACTTGGTTTTCACAAGCTCGGGTGAAATGGCAGTTGGATATGAGTGGACCAGAACACCAGTGTGAGGTATGTTCTTCTAATAGCACTCTGCATCAAGTTGTATGGTATGTGGACAAGAAGGCCACTTGATCTCTGTCAGGTATCTTTCCACATCTGTTGCATTACTGCACCATCTCCATGCGGCAACATTTATGATGATACTGACTTTGTAAAAGATGCTTTTATGTTCTACTTAAGTTATATATGAGTGACATAATCTTGAGTATTTTTAACAGGAATATTGGAATCCCACTTGTACATTTTGAAAAGGTGAAACTATGTAAAAAAGAACATGGAAATTGTATTGGACCAAGACCCATCAACTACCTGCAATATGCAGATGATACCACTTTTCGTTCAAAAAAACCCAAAGATTTGAAACATCTATTGATGAAGTTCAGTGACAACAGCCTTCAGTATAGATTACACCTCAACATAAAGGAAACAAATTCTCACAACTAGACCAATAAGCAATATCCTAATAAATGAAAAAACAATTCAAGTTGCAAGGATTTGACTTGACCTAGATCCACAATCAATATCCATGGACGTGACAGTCAAGAAAGGGAATGACGTACCACAAGACCTACTACAAAGGACTCTTTAAAGTGCTAAAGTTCAAGGACATCATGTTATATACTTAAGTGCACTTGATTCAAGCCAGTCTTTCCATCAGCCTTAAATGTATGTAAAAGTTGGACAATGAACAAAGACCAGAGAAGAACTGATGCCTTTGAACTGGGATATTGGTAAAAAAGCAGCAGGTATGCAGCCAGGATGTTGCTCAGCAGTGAGATGGTTTCACCACCTTCGTTTCGGGCATGTTCCCAAGAGCAGGCAGTCGCTGGAGAAAGGCTTCATAGCTGGAAAGCAGAGGGTCAGCCAAGGAGTGGATCCCTCAAAGGGGAGCACAGACATAGAGGCAGGATCAGGATCGGCAGGGTCTGTTCTGCTGGATGCAAGGTCGCTGTGAACTGGAACCTTCTCAGTGACACCTAACAACAATACGCCTCCAAATTCAAAAGGTGCCTGAAATTCAGAGCCTTGCTAAATTTCAATTCTTTTAAACTTTTTAGAATATACTCCTGAGGTTCTATTCTTTCTCTAGTTTTTAAAGCACAGATTAGAAATATACTTTTAATTGCAGGAAGTCTAAGGTTTCATTAAGCATCAAGCCAAAGATTCTAAGGCAAAAGGAAAGAGGGCATTAAGCAAAGAACCCCCACTGTCCCACAACTCCCACCCTGCACTACTGCTTCCCTAACTGGCTACAAGGTCTAGTCAGGTCCAGAGTGAAAGAAACCCATTCCTGAATTAGAGAGACTGAAGTGTAAGTGTCTGCCTTGCTATTTGATTGGCAACTGGTAAATTTCTTCCTCTTTAGTTTTCTCTCCTATAAAGCACAGATCTATGTCCTACAGGAGAAGGATTTTCTGTTTTGTGTCTACAGCGGTGCTTGTCTCACAGCACCTCCAGGTGACAAACTTCATTCTGGTAGGCAGAGGGTGTGGATGCTTTTCCTCTAGCCCAGCACGCAGTTGGTCCTCTAGCCCAGCACGCAGTTGGCTGTCACGCATGCCTCATGCATGCCGTGGGAGGTTTACAAATGGACGATTCCAATTTGTCCTTTAAAAGGTAGGGCAGGGGAGTGAAGTTCATGGAGTGCTTCCTTCGCATGTGGTTTATCAACACTGTATTAGACACCTGAATTACTTCATCTCACTTGTACGTTGTTACGTGCCATTAAGTTGACTCTGTGAGCAGATCTGAACGCTGTCCTCTCCTGCACCATCCTCACGTGTTCCTCCGTGCTTGAGCCCACCTCCACAGTCAGGATGTCAACCCATCACATGGAGGGTCTTCCTCTAACTCTCCACCTTGCCTGACATAATGCCTTTCTTGGAGGACAATATTCTCCTGACACGTGCAAAGCAGAAGCATTTCCATTCCTACTGTACAGACAACGTCTGCAGGGTCACATTACTTGCACAGAGATGGCACTCAAAGGGCTTACCTTCAAAAGCTGTGCCTTCTGACTACACAACAGCCTCACACACACACACACACACGACAAATTAAAAGTTAAGATTCAAAAGTGTTTATACTATGTGTTATGTACAGTAAACTAGAATAGTGACCTTAAAGCACAGTAACTCTGAACCCAATGCTATCCTAAGCCAATCTCACTGCCTCCGACACACTTTCCCCCATTACTCCAGTCACTGAGTTAATCCATCTCATACAGGATATTCCTCTCCTGCACCCTTCCAAGCATGATATTCTCCTCTAAGGACTGACCCTTCTTGGCAACATGCCCAAAGTATGTGAGATAGAGCTTCAAAATCCCTGCCGCTAAGGAGAAACTTGGTTTCACTCTTTCCAGGACAGACCTGTTTGTTCTCTTTGCAGATAATAGTATGTTCAGGGCTCTTTTCCAGCACCACAACTCAATTCTTCCGTCACCCTTAGTCATTGTTCAGCACTCTGGCGTGTGCAAGTAATTGCAAAGATAATGTCCTGGATCAAGTACATCTTGGTCTCCAGACTGACACAGTTTCTCTTTAGCCTCTCTGGACAGGTCCGTGACAGCAGATTTCCCCAGTGCAATTTGTCTTTTGATTTCCTGGCTGGTGGTGCCAAGAGTGTTGACTGTGGACCCAAGTAAGCTGAAGCTTTTAACAATCTCAATCTCTTTTCCATGTATCATTAATTGGCCCATTGGTGAGAATCTTTTTTTGTTGTTACTATTGTGTACCGTCAAGATGGATCCAACTGGCATAGAAGGAGATTGTCCCTCCTTCTCCAGAGGAGCATGTGGTGGATTCGAACCAAGCTCCTTTGGGATTGCAGTGCAGCTTCTTGCCACTAGGCCATGTGAGCTCCCTTAATCTTTGTCATATTAATCTGTCTCCCTTAATCTGTCATATTTCCTCAAATTGTGATGCCACATTCTTCCTCTTAAAGTCCAGCCTCCTGAATGATCTGTTATGTATATAGACTGAGAAATATGGAGATGGAACGAATCCCTAAGGCACAAATCCCTGAGCCACTCCTTTCTTGATTTTGAACCATGCATTGTTTGTTCCCTTGCTCTGTTCCATTAACTGCTTTTAGGTACAAATATAGGTTTTGATGAATGAGCATAATCAGGTGTTCTTGGATTCCCATTCTTCTCAATGTTAGCCAAAAAATGAGATCCACAAAGTCAAATGCCTTTGCATAGTCAATGAAACAGCCATTCCTCTGGTATTCTCTGCTTTCAGCCAAGATCCAGCTGACACTGACTACACTGTCTTTAGTGCCACGGCCTCTTCTAAACCTAGCTTGCACTTCTGGCAGTTCTCTGTTGATGTACTGTTCCATTTGGTTTTGGATAATATTCAGCATGCTTGCATGTGGTATTAGTGATGCTGTTTGATAATTTCACACTCTGTTGGATCATCTG